CGATGAAAAGCCTGTTGGTAGCGCAATTTGTTTTGAGCTTTCACCAATTTTTTTTTTTCGTTGTCCGATAAATTCCCTATATAGCTCTTCCTACCATAATCAAATTAGAAGACCCAAAACAGTGGCAACGCGAGCAGGAAAATTGGAATTATAAAAGTTAGCGAGCTCCCAAAAGCACTAGAGTGATATGCCTGGTTTTTTGTTCTTTATTTATTTTACCTTTTTCCAATGCTGTCACGAGAAAAAATAATTTTTTCTGTTTTTTTTTTTTTTGTTGAAATTTCACTTTGGGCCATTTCAACTTGAACGACAGGATCAGCACAATCAGTTATCAAAATTATAGGGACTTTAAGTACATATACTTCACAACGCTGAGTAGAACATTTTTTGTGTAGCGACGTGTTTGTATGTATGTATGTTTATATGTTTATGCAACATGAATGGCTCATTCTAAGTTAGGTCGGCACGTCACTCAGTCATATACCGTCAGCCGTGGGGCATATGCGCAAAGTTGCCAACCAAGTCAGAATCGTGGATTAGGTAAGGAAAAGTGCAGGAGAAGATCAGTGCTTGGTGTTGGCGGCTTTTAACTTTGTTCTTTGTTCGAACTTAATTTAAATGCAATTGGACGGACAACAGTGAGTTAGGCAGACAAGCAGAGACAGTACCAACGACAGGCATGCCGAGGCGGACACATTGTCCGAGTTTGTGTTACCACAATCGCCTGACTACCCGCAACTTGCCTGACTACGAGGTGAATAAGAATGAGCCTTGCTTTTTGACAGTTTCGTGACACGTTAATTTTACGTTTTTATGCAGCTATGCTCGAAGCACTTCAGAACATTTGCAAATATACAAGCATACAGGTAAATAATATTATAACCGCGACAGCATAGGGCAGTGCAGGCCATGAATGATGACCGCTCTCCTTTTTGGGTGTCCTCCCTTTCTCATCTACACTCTTTCATATAAAAGGAATTGATTGCCAAGAATCTGGTAGTGGCAGAGCAGTCGGCAGGTAAGCCATGCTATTAGCTGTGCTGCTGTGTGTCTTTTGCTTTCTAGGAAAAAGCTCGCTGACCTGCATCCGCCACACACATTTAGCTCAAAACTATGCCAGTGTGGCAGTCAGGCGTCAGGCATCAGTCGAGCATTTGAAATTTGTATTTATGTATGTAGGTGCTGCTGACACTGACGCTTCATGTGTGTCCTGCGGGCGAGTTCTATATTTTGAAGTTTTTCTCACGACAAATTGAATTTTTATTGCCCAAAAGGTTTTTTAATTTTTTATATGCAGCCTTTTCGGTAGAAATCTCTTTTTGGAACAAATTGTATGTGGGTGATTTATTGAGCACTCGTTATTGGTGAGGGTCAGTTAAAAAAAATATATATACATATATATTTTGTTAGAAATAAATCGAAGGCTTTCCAGGAACCTCTGCATATATGAATAAATTTGTGTGAAAATATTTATGTTTGTAAATATGTTTCCTCTCTCTCTGCGTGCTATGCGAAATATTAATGTGCAACATCGAGGTCAATTGCAGTTAGTTTACATATGCAGTTAGCGAGTACTCCATTAAGTACCGTTTTAATATTTGTCTTGACACTCGTACAGTTGCCTCAACTCAATCTTCTCTATTTGCGCGTTTTGACAACAAATGTATCTATTAGCATCTGGCAACGGTGCTGCAACAATATGTAAATAATAATTGCCAACTTATTGTCAACACTTGAAATTTTAAGTGACAACTTGTTGTTCGCGGGTGTTTGTCTTCTGCCTGCGTGACCAACGGAGAAGAGGAGTCACAAAAACCGCCTCATGGCAATGGAGAAGAGGTTTGTGTCACAGTGGTTAGCTTGTGGAAAATATGAAAAATTCTATTTACGTTAAGTTGTGTTGCTTTAAGCTAAGTTATGCTAGGATACACTGTTATGTTGTTGTACTTCGCACTTCTGTTATGTTGTATTTTGTTTTGCTATGTGTACCACATACTGCACTTATCATCTCATCTCATCTCATCTCATCTCATCTCATCTCATCTCATCTCATCTCATCTCATCTCATCTCATCTCATCTCATCTCATCTCATCTCATCTCATCTCATCTCATCTCATCTCATCTCATCCCATCATCTCATCTCATCTCATCTCATCTCATCTCATCTCATCTCATCTCATCTCATCTCATCTCATCTCATCTCATCTCATCTCATCTCATCTCATCTCATCTCATCTGATCTCATCTGATCTCATCATCTCATCTCATCTCATCTCATCTCATCTCATCTCATCTCATCTCATCCCATCTCATCTCATCTCATCTCATCCCATCTCATCTCATCTCATCTCATCTCATCTCATCTCATCTCATCTCATCTCATCTCATCTCATCATGTTAGCTTTTCTCATCTCATCTGATCTCATCTCATCTCATCTGATCTGATCTCATCATCTCATCTCATCTCATCTCATCTCATCTCATCTCATCTCATCTCATCTCATCTCATCTCATCTCATCTCATCTCATCTCATCTCATCTCATCTCATCTCATCTCATCTCATCTCATCTCATCTCATCTCATTTCATCTCATCTCATCTCATCTCATCTCATCTAATCTCATCTCATCTCATCTCATCTCATCTCATCTCATCTCATCTCATCTCATCTCATCTCATCTCATCTCATCTCATCTCATCTCATCTCATCTCACATCTCATCTCATCTCATCTCATCTCATCTCATCTCATCTCATCTCATCTCATCTCATCTCATCTCATCTCATCTCATCTCATCTCATCTCATCTCATCTCATCTCATCTCAACTCTTTTATCACATCTTGTCAGCACTCCTCATTTAATCTCATCTCCTTTCATCTCATCTCAACTCATTACATCATGTTAGCTCTTCTCATCTCATTTAATCTCATCTCCTTTCATATGATCTCATCTCATCTCAGTTCATCTCAACTCATTACATCATGTTAGCTCTTCTCATCTCATCTGATCTCATCTCATCTCATCTGATCTCATCTCATCTCATCTCATCTCATCTCATCTCATCTCATCTCATCTCATCTCATCTCATTACATCATCTCATCTCATCTCATCTCATCTCATCTCATCTCATCTCATCTCATCTCATCTCATATCATCTCATCTCATCTCATCTCATCTCATCTCTTCTCTTCTCTTCTCTTCTCATCTCTTCTCTTCTCTTCTCATCTCATCTCATCTCTTCTCTTCTCTTCTCATCTCATCTCATCTCATCTCATCTCATCTCATCTCATCTCATCTCATCTCATCTCACCTCATCTCATCTCATCTCATCTCATCTCATCTAATCTCATCTCAACTCATCAACTCTGTTACTCTGTTGCTAGACACAGTGCCAATATTCTGGGTATACTGTAAAACCAGCGTCGGCCCAGCAGTAGCACTGAGCACATAAACGCCTGGCGGTAAAAAGTATCAGAAAAGGAAGTGGAACCTCCCTATCATCTCCTCCCACTGCCATACTTATATATACATATGTATATACGTATGTGTTTATACAGCGTTTACTGCTGGCATGCAAATATGCTTCTATTGCACTATAGCATTTGGGTATGCGCATGTGCGTCAATATTTGAACAACTGTGCGTCGTAATAGCCAAAGCGTGTGACCAAAACAACGTTTGCAACAGCGTCTAAACAAATGCGTTGTCAATAGACGTTGCTGTTGCTATTGTTGTTGTTGACGTCAAAAAAATGCAGTCATAAAATTAACTTTGCCACACACATAAAATAAACAGCAGACAAACGCACAACCGTACATGCAACATGAGCACTTTCAACAACGTGCAACAAACAAAAGGAGCAATTTGAAATAGAAAATATTGCATGGCATTGTAAATTTCGTTGCAAACACTAAATACACGCAGACGTGAGTGTGAAATTACAAACAGTCAGAGTGCGCAAACGATCGGAATCGCAAACGAGCTTGTGGCTTGGGCCAATAAGTAAACGAAGTGTGGCGATCGCGAAGAATGCAAAGGGTGTAGGCATGGAAAGGGAAAATCGATGTGGTAGCGCTGATAAGCGAAAAGAAAGCTAAAAAAGAAAATCTATGTGGCATGATAGTTTTAGGTGCGCGTGTGTGTGTTTGTGTGAAGTATGTACTTTGTGGCAGTCAGCGTGTGCAATGTAGCGTGCGTATCCAATCAGCGATCTGCGCTTGAACGCGTGTTGATTTCATTTGATTTGAATTTGAATTTTCTTCCCAAAGGCGCACAAATTTTCGCAACAAGTCTCGGCGCGCATGCAACACTGATTTGTGCTGATATTAACTCGTAGTTAGAGTAAAATGCGTTTGTTACTTTTGACTTCCTTGTCGCGCATTTTCGTCGAAATCGTAATTGCTAACTGCGGTAGCAAATAATTTTGCACTTTATGTTGTGCGAAAAGTTTTGCCATACTTCTTTTTGTTGGTTCGCTATTTACGTTTAGGTTATCAATTTATTTTCTATTTTTCTCAAAATTAAATCCCATACTTCATTTAGTTTTATTTTTATTTTCCTAACAATCTACAAAATTATTGGCGCCACGCAGCTGTGAACATGACTTTTGCGTGCGCATGCGCAGTTTTCGGCAGTCAACAAACACATCACCTCAACAGCTTTTTTGCCCCTTAACACAAATATTTCACTTCAATTTTTTTCTTTGATTTGGAATGCTTTTCGCAACTTTTGATCACCTCCGTATTGATATGCCTACGGAATTACGACAGGAAAATTTACTTCCCATTTAAGAGTGATTTTATTTCACATTAATTGCAATCGATTTTCTCGACATCAATTTTTTCAGTTGCGAATTTCGTTACACTTTTTTCACGCATTCATTTTGTTTTTCATTTTTCCTTTATTTATTTTCATTTATTTGCCGTCTCAATTTTTGGCGCGATACGTAGGTGTGTACATTCCGTTTTTTTTTTTGTTTCGTTTTTGATTTTTACTCACCTTTCAGGTAACGTACTGTAGTAGAGCAGCACCGTTGCAATTTCGTAACAATTCAGTCCGGCTGCAAGTACACATTCCGCATCGACGGTGACAATTGGATGGCCTTTCAGATCGCTGGTACCTGGAAAGGAGATAATTGATATTTATTTATTTGTAAAATGTAAATATAAATATCTAAGTATTTTAAGTGTTAAAGTTAATCTCTTAATATTTCCGTAAAAAATATTCTGTATAAATTTAACAGTAAATTTTTTGTATCAATATAATCTCAATTTTCTAAATAATAAACAATTATAAAAAAATTTAGTGATCTGTATCTCGCCTTGTATATAGTGATTTTTTAAGAGCTTATGGAAAGTTAAAAAAAAACACATAAAATTCAGAAAAATGCATAAAATTATTATTTGAATCGATAGTTCGGTCCATATAATTTAATGTTTGAAGCTTATTTCTTGAAAATGTTCACCATGACTGCGCCTCAAATGGTCCCTCCGCTTAGTTTAATTTTGGCACAGTCTTCCCAACATTTCGGTTGGTATCTCACGACTAAATGCTCCAATGTTGTCCTTTAATGCTTCAATTGAAGTGGGCTTGTGTGTGTAGACATTAGATTAAACATAGCCCCACAAAAAATAGTCTAAAGGCGTTAAATCGCACGATCTAGGCGGCCAATTGACCGGTCTCGAACGTGAAATGAAATGTTAACCGAACTCGCCTCTCAATAAGTCCATTGTTACGCTTGCTGTAAGGCATGTGGCACCGTCTTGTTGAAAACACATGCCATGCAAGTCAAGCTCTTGCATTTTGGGCCAAAAAAAAGTTTGATATCATCTCACGGTAGCGCTCACCATTCAGTTACGTTACGATGTCTTGAAGAAGTACGATCCAATGATGCCACCAGCTCATAAACCGCACCATACTGTGACTTCTTCAGGACGCATTGGTAGCTCTTGCAATGCTTCTGGCTGATCTTCACTACAAAATCGATGATTCTGCTTATTTACTTTCTTAACAAAGCACGCATTTTGATAATAAAATTCAATCATTTGCAAGCGTTGTTCGTTTGTAAGACGATTCGTGAAGATGTTTGACAGTGATACAAAACTAGAAACGTACGTCAGTGATGCCAAAATTATAATAGCTAAAAAATCACCCTTTATATCTGCGATTGAATTACACTTAGCTCCGTAGTATTCGAGCGCATGTCAAAGATGGAAACCAGCAAAGTAAAATAGGCTACATTCTACCAGTGGATTCATTTACAGACTTATCGCTCAAAGGTGTTACTAGTTATAACCTAGTATTTTAAGGCAGAATTTATACCAGTTCGCCATTTGTTTGCAGAAAATAACGCGTCATCTGTATGCTGCATTAATTCAGTTCAGAGGCTGTCATTAGGAATGCGATTCATTGTGCGGAACTAGCTGTAGGCAAGTTTTTTATTTTATATTTTAGCGAAGCAGATTTTGACTATCTACACAAATGAACTAGTATTTAACTAGTATGAGGCTTATGTAAATATTTCAGGATTTGCAATTTTATAGTTTATAGCTAGTTTAATGAAAAATATATTTAATCAGCTGAGATTTTAATTATTCTTCTAATATCGACGTCAAAAACGTCATGCTGATGAACTTATTGGACGCAACTGGACCATAATTGACCCAAACGGGAAATTCTGGAGAATTGAATTTAAAAAATGGCATCCCAAAGGAATTAGCGGTCATCGACCAAAAACAATTTTAGATATTTCAGCACCTCACAATTGTTCATCTTTTGATAACAAAGAATATAATTTTCATTTTGTGATATTTACAATTTAGGACCTATGGAGTTGACAAACTATATTTTGATGTCAGTGGACACATTATTGACTTTATATGCTTTTTTTCAAAGAGTATTGCAAGAGCGGGAGAATAAATGATTTGTTGATCTATAAGAACGATGCTTTCAAAGTTTAGTCATAAGGATACGAATTTTTGGCTGGTACAAGCACGAGGCAGTAAAAACACAGCTGATTATCTGAAACTCTTATCTTTCAAAATCATGATAGTCTCGAATATAAGGGTACCGGTCAGTGAGGTAAGTCTAAAGAAATCGATATTTCATGCGGGAACGTTCGCCAAGAAAAGAAGGTTAAAAATAGAGAAAACCTCGCTGAAGAACACGAAAAAAATTAAACTGAAAACGCAAAGACTTGTTTATAAATTCATTGGATGCCGTTAGGTTTATTGAGTTTCGTTTTGGTTTAAAGTTAATACTTAAAAAATTTAACTTTGCAATACGCTAATTGCTTTGAGACGTACAAAGTATAGTTGAAAGGTTTGGAGATCCCAAACAATTTTCCAGTACGGCCAAATATGAGAGTTTTGTCAGGAGTTGGAGTCAGTTAAGGCGAAGGCAATTTTTATGGCATTCCGTCAAATAATTAATAACTAATTGACAATACTGGTCAGATTTGTAATTTGTAATTTTAAAGTATTCAGAACTTCTCTTAGGCGGACGAGAAGCTAGAACCAGCGTGCAACCTTCCTAGGCTACATCTATTTTATGTGAAATTCACCAAAATAACTCTTTTTAGAAAATCATTTTATAATGAAAAAAAGCATCGCCGACCTATTTTCCATAAGCTATTAAAAATATTACTTATTATCAACGCTTCTGAGCTGTCACTCATAAAGCGAGCAAACATAATTTTATTAAAAGTGAAAAGTTTTAAATACACCCCTGGTGCGTAACATAAATTTAATTTCTGTAGGAAGAAAAAAAAAGAATATGGCCACCATCGAAGTAATTTGCATGTCAATTAAATTTATTTCATTTACGCTGCAAATGAACTTGACACAATTATTGCCGCCAGACAGCAGCACGATACCACACCATTCACCTAGTCACCCAGTCATCCAACGCAGCAGCCAAACAACAAACACATAATCACGCAGAAACAACAACAACTAGACAAACAACCGCCCAACACTAGATGTTGGGTGAACTAAAAAGAAGAAATAGTAAATATGTAAGCATGCCACATGCCACCACACAACACCTGTACGAACTTACGATGTATGTTGTCATCTTTTTTCACACTCAGCCAATTTTTTACACATTGGGTGGTCAATTAAATGTTAATGTGTTAAAAAGTGTCTGCGAAGGCTTGCGCTGCAACGACTACTGTGCTCGGATGCGCTTACATATGTACCCATGTATGTATGTACAAATATGAATATTGGCTTAATTGCCTTGAAAAAAGTTGTATCGCACATAGCTTTGTACGATCTTTAGCAGCAGCTTTAGCATTGCCACTGATATTGGTGGCAGCAATGCTAAATTGATTTGGCAAAGTGTTGCACGTAAAATTGAACGACACTAATGAAAATGAAATGTCAGTCACTCAATTGGGTAAGCACGGTGATGGCCTGAAGTGCTAGTAGAGGTTTAGCCAAAAACGTATTAGAATTTCACTTCCACCACATATAAATTACAGATTTTATGATGAGTGAGTGCAGATAAAATACCCAAAGTCTTGATACCACATCATATGAGAAAGCGGTGATGTGAAATGTTATCATAAGATGAACTGATAGCGTATGATGTGATATCATGCGATGTTTGATGAACTGCAATGATGTGATACCTGCTCATCAAAGGCTGGCAATCAATGAAATTGTCACCTTGTAACACAAAAATAGATTTGATGTTGTTATGATGAACACATATTGTATGATGTGATATCATGCGATGTGTGGTGAACTGTAATGATGTGATTTGTACATCATCAAATGCTTCCTAACCATATATTCGCATATAGCAACAAATATATAACACACTCAAACACATTTTTCGTTGTTATGATGAATTCATAAGGTATGATGTGACATCATGCGATGCGATGTGATCGGCAAAAATATGAGTTCTGCATTATCAAAGGCTTGCATTCAACGAAACCAGAAGCAAACATATAAGCACCGTCATATATGTAACACAAAAACACATTTGTTGTTGTTATGATGAATTCATAAGATGCGATGTGTCATTATGCGATGTGATGTGATCGGCAAAAATGTGATTTCTACATTATCAAAAGCTTACAATCCATACCATAACATATGAAACATATATAGTCTTAGGAGCATTAATTGACAACACAGCGATGATGGTGTGAATAAAAATGAAATGCAAATCGATTTACACTGGCATCCTTCAGCGCATGAGCGCGTAACACCTGAATGGCAAACAAATTGCTAACAAATTTAGTTTAATATGCAGTTTAGTGGAACGATGTAAGTGGAAAATTTTTATTTAGCGAAAGTTTAATTAGGAATTATTAAAAAAGTCATAAACAAAAGCGATTCGAGTTTTGATGAGAAATATGCAAAATAGCCAACGCGTAAACCGGAAAGATGTCGGCATTAAAAAGAGAATAAAACATAAAATAAAATAAAGAAAAATTTACGAAAAAGTAAATAATGTTTGTCATTTTATTTTAGCCGGATGTTTTTTTCCATTTATTGATTGTAAACTTACCTGGCAGATAAATACCCGATGTGGTTAAAAGCTTCTCAGGAATTTCGCTGATCGAAGCAGGTGGCACAATTTCACATTCAAATTGATCTGTAAAAGAGATAAGAACATTTTTGTTTAATTTTTTTTTTTTTTTGATAAAATTTGTTGTTTGTAGTTTAGATAAAAAAAATACATTTGAATTTTAAAGAAATTTATTAACTGACATTTTGAATTACAAGGCATTTTGCTCTGCTTAATTGGTTTACTAAGAGCAGCTGTGTATAATATATATATGTACTTGTATGTATACTTATTTCACTCAATACAAAATTTGTGCTTGTAAAATTATAATACACTCTATATTCCAATTAATTGCTGTTGCTCGGCCCACACAGGCAACGTTTAAGTTGTAAATTTATTTTTTCGAAATTTCAAGCATACTTTGGCATTATCTTTTGCTAACATCAACATCTAGTATAGAAACAGATAAGCTGCACGTCGCTATTAATGCACAAAATGTGTTGGAAATTTTAAAAAGCAAACGCTCATTAAGTAGTTTAATTCAGAATTTTTTAACGAACTTTTTTTAAGTGGGGGTTTTCCTTAATACTTTCATATTCAATTCGATTCTCCCTCCATAGTTTATCCAATGCGAAACAAAAGACTTACGACACAAACTTTTTAATTCTTCTAAAGAACAAATAGTGTTGCCAATCAAATTTTATGACAAAACTAGTTTAACTGAGAATATTTAAATTTCTCTTCACTATAAAATTATTTTTTTTTTGTAGTTATAAAAGTGAAAGTATTTAATTCTTATTTAATATGAAATTATTGAAACTATTGTCATATCAACGTGATAACAACGAGATAAAGGCGTTAGCTCAAGCTCGAAAGAGGCCAAAAGAACTCCAATCATACGACCTTTTACTTTCACCACAAGAGCACAAACTGAGTGTTTGTCTTACGAATGAAAGAAAACTCTGCTCATCAATTGCATTGATTGTGCGCGGAGAAGAAACGAGAAAAATCGCAATGGGTGAAAAAATATTGAAAATTAGCGTAATTTAGTTTGATAACCCCCACAGCTGACATCAAATGATAATATTCATTAAAGGAGAAGAACTTTTACCTTTATCCTTTACCATGTAAGCACACCATACAGAAGGTATAGGTTTGGAAGGGCGTAGTCTTATTTGAGACAGCAAACTATTTATTGTGATCTCTTCTGCCGTCAGCTATGTCAATTACTCGAGTAGGAAAATGTCCTGAGCTGACTAATTACAAAGCCGTGGTACCAGAAACATAACACTGGCATTAACCAATGGTATAAAATGAACAGAACTCCAGTGGGAACTGACGTAAGACCATCAGATTACCATTTTTACGCTCGTTTCAGAGCAATTTTAATGGCAAAGTTTTTGAGGTATTGTAAATCATTCTCATTTTCTACCAAAAATCCTGGCATTTTTCGAATATAGTATTTTTGAATTCATGCGTTCATGACGTTGCGGTAAGTGATCCAATTTTTAACACCTGTCACCATCAGAATTGGTATCGGTTTCGTTTCAATTCAGCAGCGATTCGCACATGGAAGTTAGGTGCTCGTTAACTCTTAAAACTATTTTTTGTTTTTGGTGTAGCTTTTACGCAATCGAAATCGAATAGATGAGTTCCATTATTTTTCCACATTTTCGATAAAATGCCTTCCATAATGTGAAGCATCGTTTCCATCGAAATTACTGATAAGCTATTATAGTTAGTATCCGGCCCATAAACACTTTCAAATTTTCAGCTGCCTGACTTGCATTTTCGTTTTTATGGAAAAAATATTTTAAAATATTTGCTGGTGCCATCCTTGACATCCGCTTCAACTTATACAGTCCCAAATATAACACGCGAGATACAGATCACTAAAGCTATATATTGCTAAAATAATGTATTACTTTTTACTATAACTAATTTATAGCATATATACATATAAAAATTAGACATTTTTATTGTTTTAATTTATCTACGTTTTTTATGAATATTATTTATTTTATCTTCTATTTATTTTATTTGAAAGACTTTCTGTATAAATATTTTTAATCCTGTTTTCGTTTGAATTTTGTCTTGGAGTTTGTCTAAAATTTATATTTGTTGCTATATTTCTTATAATTAATGTTGAGATTGAGTGAAATCACAGTAAATACTTTGCTTTATCTGCAATCACACATTAGATAAATGATTGCAATTTAATTGTGTGGTTTGCATAATAATTTCTGCACCGTTAAGCATTTTTCCATTTGAAAAATTTGTTTGCTTAATTTTTTATTTTTTTTTTCTGCGGTGTGACCACATATTTGCTGCTGGTGTGGCATGTGTAGGTGTCAAGGTGCATTAATTCATTTAACACATGCGAGATATATTCGCACTTATGTACATGCCAACATATATGCTGGTGTGTATTTTCCAGACTATATATAGTACATATGTATGTGAATTGTATGGAAAAACGCGAGCAGTGGCACCACCTGCAACGACAATGTGGCGACATGCAACAGATATGTGTTTAGCCACAAAGCAGCACGACATTTACTTTAAGTGAATTTGAGTGTTGCACATATGTATGTACATTATGTATGTATGTGTGTATGTGAATTTTTCAAAGTTAATTTCTGTGGGCAGACTAAACAATTTTTGAACTGGTTCAAATTAAATATTTTCGAAATACTTGCACTTTTGCGCTTGGCATACATACATGCAGCTTGCATATGTATATACTAGTACATATGTAAATATATCTATTGCGGGAGTTGCTGGCATATGCATGTGCACATGTATGCATTTCTGGTATTTGGAGCAAATATGCGCCTAAAAAAGCAATAAAACTTGGTTTAAATATATTTGCGCACACACATATATAAATAAATATATATAAAAATATATCTAAGTCACAACACATGCGTTTCCACTTGCTGTTGCACAGTAATCGATCGTTTCCGATTGCTGCCACCGCAACGAGTTGGAGTAATTAAAAATGTGAGCGTGCAACCAACGCAATTGCGCGTCGCGTCGCGCACCTGCAACTTAGCAGTAGTAAACTAAAAACGCACACTTGTGCATATCTGTTTATGGCAAGAATTCTCGTTTTTCTTTATTGTCGCAGATTTGCAATTTAATCCTTTCCATTAAGTGTCTCCGCAATGAATTAACCACCAGCGCTGTGGCAAGCCACAAGAACCACCATCAGCTGGCGGCCGTCCAAGACCGCATAGAGCTCCCACACTTGATTGTTTGAGAATGACAGCGTGAGCTATTCATTTACCCACACTTCACTGTTTGTTTTTGTGTGTATTTGTTATACTTTTTATTACAGTTTTGTTGCATGTGGCTCACAGTCGACAGTCGACAGTCGACACACTTCGCCATCAATGCCAAAGCGAATTTCAGTGCAGGCGTGAAAGACCATTTGCCAAATGCCACAGGTTGTTCCTACATATGTAAGCTGCGTTCTGAGTATTCAAGAGTCAGTGGTCAAAAGTCCATTGGTTTTGATCTTGTCTGCAGCAGTTGAATTAGAGAAAAGGGAAATTTTGATTATTTTTGTTGCTTATGGAACGTTGTTGTTGTTGAAACTGGAAAAATATTCCCCAAAGCCGTATTTAGGAATTATGCGGGAGTGAAAGTTCGTGGCCGGATAAAAACCGGGTCGTTCCGTTATAAAGACCCCACTGTCGCGGGAACTATTGCATTTTAGTCGCCTCTTACGACAGTCATGCCTTACCGCGGGTAAATTCTTGTACCCCCAACCCACAGGGGAATAAAGCATAAGATAAAAAAAAGTCTCTCCACTGCCTTTTTTCATTCTTTCCATTGTTTGTTTGATCTGAAGATATGAGGAATTTTGTAGCTCGTAAAATACTTTTTTATATTTATTATGTCTAGCCAGACTTTTATCCAAAAATTATAGAAAATTTATTTAAAAAAGAAACTAAGTAAAATTTTCTAATTGCGGTCGCACGTCAGCAGGGAATGTCAACATGTTCGAGTGTATTTTGGACATGATATAAAAAGCTCCTCATATAAAACTTTCAGCCGTTCAGAGGTGATTTAGAATAAACTGTGTAGGTTCCTTCACTTGTTGGAAAAATATTAAGACACATAACCACAAATTGGTGGAGGAGCTCCGCCGAAAATCGCTTCAGTGGTGGTTCTCAGATCATCTGAAGATACATACAAAATTTCAGAAGGATCGGTCAGACCGTTTTAGAGGAGTTTGCTTCATACATAGTCACATGAGAATTTAATTTTTCCATTCCACCAATACCTTAAGTCTTTTGATACAAGGAGCATAATGAAAACATAGTGAAAATTCCTGAAAAAAATATCCTAAAAAACTGAGAATTTATTTTAATATTTCTTTTCTAATAAATCCGACGAGTGTTTTGAGACTGTCCGAAAAGCAGTAAAAGATGTTTTGACAGAGTGTTCTGAAAGTTCAAAGGGCTCATCTATTTATTTGAGTATAAATTTTAATATTATTGGATAAATTTTTTTGTGTAATTGAAATGTCATAACTCCAAAAAAATAGCATGTCGTTCGTAAATTTTAAATTTCTCAAGCACTATCAATAAATAAAGTCACGAAAGTCAGTAATCTTTTATTGCTGTATATTTATGAAAATAATCGACACAGCGAATAACATTTCTCTGCTGTTCGCTCGCAGTTCCCAAATACCAAACACCACTTGATATGCTCACATGCTCACTTGTAGAGTTGATTTTTCGTTGAACATGTCTTTTGAATGGCGCGCAAGTACAAAAGTCGATCAGCCACTGCTTTTGTGGCAAGTCTGCCAATTGCGTTTGCCGTCAGTCATCCATTAAGCCGGTGCATTCACAAGCTTTCGTACAAATCCATTGCCGTTTTGTGGTTCTTTTGTGGTTATTTCATTTTAATTTCTGATATTCAATACACTTTTTTTACGAGTTATGATAGAGACTCTTTTTCATGTTAATTTTATACTGTTATTGATTTTTTTTCAAGTACGTTATAGTGTAGAGTGTCCACTTATTTAAGCCGGTGTTCGTGCTCTAAAATAAACAAAAACGAAATCATTTCGC